AATTAGTCTATTTTTAATTGCCTCATATTTATTATCTTGTGGTGGACTTAGCAGAATATCAGATACCTGTGACAAAATATCAGGTTCAATGGAACTTATAACATAATCATATTTTGTTTGATCTACACTAATTTTTGCATTTCTAAATTGTGCTTCTAGTTGAAACCATATTTTAGGATCTGGCTTCCAAAAAGGAGGAACTTTAACGCTTACCTTGGCGACAGATGCAGTTGTTGCTTTAATTTCGGTTTCGTCTTCGTCAGCCATTGTAGAATTCGATCACGCCGGGATACACCAGTGAAGTGTCTGGTCTGGTGTACAAATATAGAAAAATAACACTTCTCTGACTCCTATGGAACCAATATTTTATTCCATACGATGTTATAGATTCTTATTCATAAGATTTATTTACATTTTACATGCACGTAGCATCGCGTGACAAAAACTCGGAGTTCTGTTTACTTCGTTCTTTGCGGAGACTAGAAGGTGTTGCCATTCCGCTTTAACTAAATTTAATTAGAAATGTAACGGAACTGAAGCGACACTACAGTCATGCTTCAATATTTCAATAATGGAGGTACTTTAAAATGCCTCCGTAATAAAACATGCAAGTATTGGCAAAGCATATTCTAGATGGAACACTGTGGCCACAGATATCAACACTGGCAATCCATGAGTAGAAAATGAACGCAAATCTTTATAAAAACATCTTAAAATATGGTGTTAGTGATTTTAATGACTAAATTTAAAAAAAATCACATTAAAATCAAACAGTATCTAATTTTTTAAATGATGTGCTAAATTCAAAGTTTAAGATAATCTGTAATGAATTTAAAAAGAATTTTAATTAGTGAATACAAAACATAAAAGCTTTTTAAAAAAGTAAAATTGTCCAAAATATTTTACACAAGCCATGTTAGTAGTGCAAGACAATATGCTTACTCTTACGCCTAAATCTTATGATGAGTGCATTAATTCAAAACACATGATTCATAATCTAAGCTGTAAAATCAGCATCTCCAAAATTTAAAAGAGGTTATGAAAAAGGCACATTTTTAGGTTACAAATGCATTATTTCATAGTCTAGAACAGCAGTTCTCAACCTTTTGACTAATCTTTTTTTTGTACCGTCTAAACAAAAATTGAAAAACTTTAAGTTCCACCACTACATTTTACAATGATTACTTTTCAATTTCTCAATAGAAACATTAAAAAAAAAATATATATATATATATATTTTGCCATTTGCACAACCTAATGGCTATATTAAATGTGTACACATAAAAAAATGTTAGATTAAAAATTGATTTTAATTATCAAAATTTAAGTTATAATAGTACTTCAATTCTAAAACTTAGTGTGAAATTTGGGCCTGTTTAAGAGAGATCAGTTTCTTTATGTCTGACCTTATTTCACTTAAATTTAACAATAAATTAAGATCCAATTTAAATTTTGTTCTGTATTACTTTTTTCAAATAAAACATGGAAGAAAATACTTGTTAACACAAATAGGTTGTGCAAGATGGCAATAAAAATTTAACACTTTCAGGACAGGTGTCCATACATGCATTCCCTAAGAACATTTCTTACAGCCGGGTGTCCCATCCACGCATCACTAGAAATTACATTCAGAGGACAGGTGATGCGTATACGCATCTTAAGCTGGAACCTTTTTCTGAAGACCACTAGATGGCATCCTATGTCCATTACTTTTGAAATGAACACAGTTTTAGGTTCCTGACCTTGATATATTCTGCTTGACTTTGGTATTTTACTCATCCACTGTTGCGAGGATGGGGGGGGGGGAGGAAAGCATAAACAGAAATGGACTCTTTAAATTGCCGCTTATATAAACATTCACATGTCCGATTTATATCCAATTCCTTTTTTTATTCTATTTTTTCCCTCTACTATGTATGGTCTTTTAGTGCTACTATGTGGAGTTTTGTTACGTTTTGCATTGCCTTCAGATATATTTTCGTTTCTTCTCTTTTTATTTCGGAAATCCTCACTCCAGTCTAATATGGTGGGAAGGCACTATTTATCAGAGGAAGAATACCCTCGTATGGTTAATGAAACATTTACTAACACAGATGAGAGTGATGATTCATTTTCTAAAGAGTTAGAAAGCAATGCTTTTTCTAAGAGTTAGAAAGTGATACTTCTCCATGCTTCGAGATTTACCACACTTGGTCTTTTTTAAATTTTGTTACTTCCTACTGTAAATAGTCTTTATTGTGTTGTTTTATTAATTTTAAACTTTATTGATGGATTTTTATCAATTAAAACTTTGGAGTAATTTGAATAGCGCTTCCGAAAATTATTTTATAACACAAGCAATTTTTTAAGTATATTTTCATGTAAAATAAAGGAAAAAAGGTTATTAAGTGCTAATTTTATCATATATAAGAGCTCAAGTAATAATCTAAAATGATACCAAAAATAACGATGCTAGAAGTGAAACTTTTTTTTTCTAAGTTTTTTATAAAATTAGGCTTAGCGGTGCAAAACCTCTCTCCTGTATGGTGACTGCCTTTGATTCTCTTCCATCCCACAAGAGAGTCTTAAACAAAGGTGCACCATTGCGAAAGGGTTAACAGCTTTATTTGAAATGCCTTTAAATTCTTTTTTTCAGCCAAAAGTTAACAAGTGTGTTATATTTGAAAGTTCCATCACAGGAAATATCTATAAATTTTTCTTTTTCTTCATGAGATTTTTAAATTTAATAGTTAATAATACTTTATTTCTTTGTGTACCACCAATTTTTCCCTTGTGTACTACCAGTGGTACACATACCACTGGCTGAGAAGCACTGGTCTGGAAAGCTCTCATTTCATAAAATTAATAGAGATGCTGCATCCTGGATAGAATCCATTTTCCATGCCAATGCGAGAAAGGCAACAGTTATTTTTAAAATAATAATTTCAATCAATAAAATTTTAAAAAGCAGGAAATAAAGGTAATAAAACTCTTACTTTTTTTAACACCATTGTTGTCCTCATATACACAGCGATTTGTTTTCATTTACAATAAAAAGAGAGAGATTTCATAAACCCAGCACTGAACACTGCCACATAAATTGCTTTGCCTCATCTGGGTTGCCACATAACTATTTTGGTGACATACTGCTTTGCCTTATAAGGTATTTTTTCCTTTCTTTGCACATGGCTTCATTGTGTAATTGGAAGCATACTCGATGTGTATTCAGGAAATCCAGAATTCGAATCCCAGTGAGGGCAGTGCACATTTTTCTCGTCTCCAGTATCAAAAACCCTAATGACTCTACAAGTGGTACCCAAACTATAAGGTGGTGGATAATAATTCATCACCATCAAGATTTGGCGACTAGGTCCCCTAATTCCCAGTTGGCCTTCAAAAGGGAAAGCATATAAGGTATTTTCTTCCTGCTCTCCATATGCCTTCGTGGTGTAATTGGAAGCATACTCAGCGCGTATTCAGGGGGTTCAGAGTTCGAATCCCCTTGGAGGGCAGTGAACATTTTTCATGTCTCTAGTATCAAAAACCCTAATGACTCTACAGCCTCATGAATACTTTATTGCAACTCTTTGGTGGTGGGTACATATAGTTAGAAAGTACCGGATTTTTTGCAATTACTGCCTTTAAAGCCCACTTGCACAGAGCCGATTTTGAGGGGAAAAAAAAAAAAAAAAAAAAAAACACCACCACATTTCCTTAAGAAATTGCTCCATAAAAATACTCATACCATGTTTCAATTGTGGTACTGATATTACTGTCAATGATCGATGAGAGAGTATTAGCATACTCTCCATATGGCCTGGATGTAAAATCAAATGATTTCTAGACATTTCCAACACTGAAAATGCAATTCTGAAAGAAAATTCCCTTTAGATGAAGAAGTGAAAATGGATATAACCATTGTGTTTAAAGGGCTGCCACAAAATGGGGGCTATTTTCATGTTTTCATATTGTTTATAAATAATGTAAAGGTATATATTTTGAAATAATGATAATAATACAGTCAAAAGTCGTTAATCCGGACTCGTCCGGACTTCGGCGATTCCGGCTTATATAAAATTAAAAATATGAAACCGTAATTTATGAAATAAAGAACAATTATGATCTAAAGGGTATCAAAATTTACAAAAAAAAAAAAAAAAAAAAAAAAAAAAAAAAAGCTTAATATTTATTTGTTTACTTTATTAAACATTTCTTTCAATGTAAGTAGTTTAAATTGCTTTGTTTTATGTGCTAATACTTTCTATTTAATTCTATATAAACAGACATAATTTTTTGTACAGTTACAAAGTTAAGCTGTTCAAGTCCTGTAATTGCTGTGCCAAGAATACCGACTAACTTGTCAATCGAAATTTTTTCGTTTTCACTAACCTCTCTGTCCCTTTCTTCATGCATTTATCCATTTTTTGCAGCAATTCCACTTTTTGTTTGATGGACTTCGAAACATACTTTCGCTGTGTAGATCCTTTGGGAGCTCCAGCATCAGAAATTCTATTTGACATAATCGAAAGTTCAAGCTTACTTTTATAAAATTCTTCTAACAATCTGCAAAAAATAACAAGCCAGATCCAATTCGAAGATTAAGGAACAATGCAATCTGCAACATTAAGTGAAATAGATAATTATATAATTTTAGCTTATACCGTCCGTTATACATTAAACGCGCATGCGTAAACGCTTGCGCACACGCATATGTGCAGCCGTAAAGGTCTTACGCGCATGCGTCAACACGACACATGCGCAGAAAGTTTATAGCTTTGAGGTCCAGATTATAGATCATTCCGGATTATGGGTGTCCAAATTAACGACTTTTGACTGTATAGGTCTCAGCAGATAGATCTAATTCTGAGTATAGGAATTAAGTCTTAAAAAGTCTTCAATTTAGCCATGTACTTATAAATAACCTTTTTATTCGAAAACATTATAAAGATTATTTACATGTTAAAATCAATTAAAAATTTAGAACAGTCTCAAATCAGTATAAACTGCAAATGAGTACTAACCTGCAATGTAGTTGGCAACACATTTAAACCTTTTTTAAGGAACTGCAAATGCTTCTCCCTCAATAATGTCGGGCACCTTTAAATAAACCAAATTCGCCAACAGTTTTTTATGTAGTAAACAACCACTTAACATAATTTGCAATACAGGTCAAAACATTTGTGCAAATATTCAGATAGAAACCAAATGATTTACTTCGGGTCAGAACAATATTCCTTGTAAAGCATTTCATCATGATTGGTTTAAAAAGAAACAGTCCTCAAACAAAGATGTTAGCATACCATAATGTTTTAAAAGAAAAACAACATATGTAATCCTCAAATAAAATAGTACAGAAGATGCAAAATGGGGCTATTAAAACATTATATACTGAACAGATTAAAAAAAAGTTAAAATTAAGACCATATTTTTATAGTTTTACATAACATATTTTAATAAACTCAAAATTTTAAAGTGATTTAATCATTTTTCATTCATTTCTTTTTTTTTCTTCTAAATTTAAGAGATCAAATGACAAAGTAATTTCTGTATAAAACATTCGACTACTGATATCATTATTTACAATACTTATATCAACTCTCCGTCATGCTAAACCCTTGGCTTTTTTAACAGTACCAAACTAATGTGGGTACCTTTTGATTCCCAGATACACACAATTACATTTTACACATAATTATTTTATGTACTTTTCAAGAAGTCATGCTAAACCTAAATTCTGATTTGCAATTTATTTACATTAGAAAAAGGAGTTATGTGTTTGCCAAATATATTGGCCATTTCTGGATATTCCATATGGCCGCTAAATATAACTCACGAAAACAAACATTTAATAAAATTGCATATAGCAGTGGTGCAAGATACAGACATAAATCACAGCATACATAATCATCAGTTATATCATAGCACAATACATATTCATGGTGTTATATGTTCAAGACATCAAAATTAGTTCTGTAACAGCACTAGCATTTTTTTTTCGGGAAAAGTGGGAGTGAAGAAACTATTCACATTAAATGCAGCAAAATTTAGCTTGGAATGTTAGACTCAAAAGATATATATAGGGACAATTACACATGCAAGGCATTCAAATGCTGATGTGTTAGAAAAATGTTAACAGAAGAGGCATCATTGACACTGATAAAATGATTATTCATAAAGCAGCAAATAAACTCCAATATATTGGCCATATACTTCCACATTAGTGGGTCTTCTAGATACCTCATTGTTCATTGTGCACACCAGCAAAAGATAATAAGAGAAATATAATAAAGGTTCCATAATTTATTTAAATTCTTAGAAATCTTACTGCATAACACAATAAAATAGGAATTTGAAGTTAACTATCATTGTATTGGATTGGTCCATAAGTTCTGGCTTTTTTAAGTGCAGGTTTCCACAAAAATAAAAAAGAAATAAACAATAAATCCATTAATAATGCATCTTCCTTCATTTTTTACAACTTCTTCCCAACATCCAACAAGCTGTTCAGAGCCTGGACAGTAGAAATCAACTGGTTTTGACTCGAAGAAATCGTCCAGCCAAGCCTTCAGTTTCACGTCTTATTGAAAGAAACTGCACTGGAGAGAGATTAGAACAGATGAAAATCTGAAGGTGCCAAATTAGGAGAACACGGAGGATGTGACAGCACTTCCTGGCCAAACGTTTGAATGGCCTCCTTTGTTGTATTGGCAATGTGAGAGCAGGTGTTATCCTGTTACAGAAGAACAGCATGTTGCACCGATCATGTCATTTTTGCTGGACAGTGTTATCGAGTCATTGCATTTGTTGGACGTAAAGTTCTGCCTTCACAGTTTGGTTCCAAGGAAGCAATTCAAAATGGGTGATGCCTTCCCAATCCCACCATATGCACAACATCATTTTGCACAAGTAACGACCATGTTTTGTTCATGGTATCGCCTGTTTGTTGGGACTTACGGCCCGTCTACACGAAGCGATTTTTCTCGGCCAACTTTCTCGTAGAGTAACAATTTTAAGGATCTGCGCATGCGCCAAAAATCAGTCATGTTCTCTGCTGTGATTTCAGAAATGGTGTCCACTGCTCACTAGCGCACGATAAAATTGGAGTCGCTAGCCAATAAGATTGCTTTGAGTGATCATGTGCTTTTCTCCTCATTTGGAATAATAAACATGGCTGCATCTCGTTGGAGCGAAACTCAAATTTTTTGTTGTGTTGTGGGAAACGAGTAATGTAAATTTTAAAAATAAAAAATTAAGGGATTCTCTTATTTTGGTAAGCTTTGTCTTCCCCATTACTTTATATATTCAAATATTTTCTATTCGGGATGAAAATTATTTTAACACCCCCAAGAAAAGTTCCAAAAACTATTAATGATGTCATGTCAAGGATACTAGATGAAAACATTTAGAAACTACTTGAAACTGTGGTCGCACTTATTGAAAAAATTCAGAATGCAAAATCTCCAGTCGAGAAATTACGGGCCGATTTAAAGCAGTGCAAAGACTCATTGATTTTCCCGAAAATGGGAGTGAATCACGTGATGAACTACATAGCTTTTCCAACACCTCCCACATGAGCTATCATAGCTCAGTGGTAAAGACTAGAGCAGGTTTTCTCCGTACATCAAGATCGTAGGTTCGATCCCCTAAACTAATTTTGGACTTTCCGAGCCTGCAAGGACTTTTTAATTTCGTTTCTCCATCACTAAATTTGAATTGCATGACTTAAAAGTCACTTTTTAAATTTAATACAATATTGCTAAATTTTATTAGCTGATTAACTGATAGAGTCATATGATCATAGTTTTCAGACTGTATTAGTTATTTAATTATGCTGATATTTTTTTTTAATGTTCAATAAATATACTACTTTACACCTTTATGATATTTCTTATTTGAAATTTTTGCACTGAAATTACACTGTCGCTTTGTAATGTAGTAATCTTTATTCTTTTTTACTGCTTTTTACTCATACTGGTTTGATTTTCATGACATTATTGTCATTAATAAAGGTTTTGATTTAAAGCACAGTAGTTGCTTATTTTTTCTGAAACATGGTTATTTTATTATTTCAAGATTTAAGTGCACAAATAGGAGTGCCAGGAAATGAAATTTAAAAATAAACAAATAAATAAATAAAAGAAAAAGATTAATCTGTGTACTCAGTACACAAAGGAAAAGCATTCTTTTTTTAAAATTTTGCTGCAAACTAAATTTAACAAAAAAATCAAAATCATGCGGCATCATCCGTAAACACTTTCCAAATTGTACCGTGTCTTCAATACACAACTCCAGGAGCAGGGTATTATGAAGGGACCATGAATTTCTCGTCGTTTGACCCAATTTCCGGTCTAAACTTTTTTCCCCCTTTTGTAGCAGTAGCTAAGTTCAAAATTGCAGCTGTATCTATAGTACCAATTTAAAGTAAAATAGTCATCCATTATTTTGACTATTTGACAACACCGTAAGCTTTGTTTACAAATCGTAGGCAGTGTGATGTTGTAGAGGGCAGGAACACTTCCTTTCACAGTGATTGGCTGAGTGAATTTCTGTACTAACGAGAAAATCGTTCTGTGTGGGCAGGCGAGCTATCTCAGATATTGTCGGCCAGCTAAGTCGGCCGAGGAAATCACTACGTGTAGGCGGGCCTTAAGCCATTGCTTGCACTGCTTCATATTGGCATACAAGCACCATTTTTTGTAACTGGTAACTATTGAGTAGAGAAATTGCTGTTTGTATACACCAAGTTGACCAATGATGACAAGCAAACCAGTGGAGATCACAGCTTGTTTATTTATTTATTTATTTTTATTTATTATTTATTTTTGTTGTCATTAAAAGCATGCAAAATCCATATGCCTAACTTTTTAACCTTTTTGATCAGGTGAAGGTCTATGTTACTATCGGAGCATTCCATTAGCTCTGCCAACTCCCTCGTCGTTTGGCACGGATCTCTTCGTGAATACAATGATTCAGTCACTCCTCATCGTACTGAAGGGAGCATCTAGTGCGATGAATGTCTTTGAGGTCAAAATTGCTGTCTCTGATTTGCTTAAACCAATTTTAATACATTCTAAGAGGTATTGTTTCTTCGACATACACTTTACAAATCTTTTGAACAGCGGTTTTGGCACCTTGATTAAACGCAAAAAGCAGGTGTTGAAAATGTTTCCCCCCCTCAACTTGACACTTCATTTTAACGAATTGGAAAGAACAAAAAGTATATCAGCATAAAAAAAAACTAAACACACTAATTTGTAGAGCACATAATTCTCTATCAAATAACATTAAACACATTGCCAAAGCACTTTTTTTCGTGCAAAATTTCACTTAAAAAAATGCCGAGACTTATAGGGCAAACTAATATATAACTTGTATACTTTATCATAACTAATATTCAAGATACAAAAATTGATACAAAAACTAAAAGAAGTGAGGAAGAGCAAAATAAAAATACCAAAAAATGCCCTGTCACTACTCAGAATCCTATCTCACAAAAAATTTACATTAAGGAAGAAAATAAATGATCCTTTTAAAACCATTCTGAAGGATATTAAAAAAAATATTGGTAGTGACACAGAATGCAAACCATCACTTTTAGTTGGTAATTTATTTTTTAGATGGGGTCATTTATTTTTTAGATGGGGATTGATTTAATCACCAGTTTTCCCCACCTTTTTATTGCACATTTGAATATGAAATTTGTTTAATTATTTTTTGAGAAGACATTTTATTGGCAATATTAGCAGCATTTCAATGTAAAATGCCTGCAGAGATCAGAATAAAATCTTAAATTAAAAAAATACGTACTTTGGGTCTATTTCAACAATATTCTTTATTACTTGGATACATTTTTGTACAGAATCTTCCACTTCAATCTGTAATGCAAAACATCCAAAAGTAAAATGCTAATACTTAAAAGAAAAAAAAAATTAAAATAATAAATATATTTCATAAGCAGATACATTTTGTAGGTTATAAGGTATTTCTCCCGCCTTCCTAGTATAGTGGTCAGCATATTGAGCCGGTATTTCAGAGTTCCATGGTTCAATTCCCAACGAAGGCGGTTCCCATTTTTCATCTTTCCTGCTTCCAAAAATATACCTAATGTCTCTACAGTGGCACCCGATACTAAAAGGGATGTGGATGATGACTCTCCACATCCAGGATTTGGCGATTGGATCCCTTAAAAAGCCCTAGTTGCCCTTTAAAAGGGAGAGTATATAAGGTATTTCTCCTGCCTTCCTAGTGTGCCTTTGTGGTGTAGTGGTCAGAACACTGAGCCGGTACTTCAGAGGTCCGTGGTTCGATTCCTGGCGAAGGCGGTTGCTATTTTTCATCTTTCCTGCTCCTAAAAATATACCTAATGTCTCTACAAGGTATTAAAATGAAATCACATTCTAATTTTAAAGCTGGTTTTAACATATAATAAATCTCTGGAAGAAATAAACTATCAAAAGGCCTAGCATTTACAGTGGTGGCCAAAATTGTGGACACTTTTGGAAATTTTTATGTTTTTGAACTTTGCTTATAGAAAACGTTACGTTTCACAAAATGCAAACTTGTATATATCATTTTAAAGAGAAATTATTACTGAATTCAATACAAAACACAAAATTCAATTATTTGCAATACAAAAAAAGTTAAACGATAATAGTTATCGATATACATTAGATAGTGATGATTGCAGTGAGTTATCAGTACTTAGTAGGGTACCCTTTAATTTTGATTACAGCTTCACATCGATGTTTCATTCAGCTGACAAGAGTTTTAAGCTCTTCTTTCGTTATTACATGATGCCAGGAAACAATTGTAGCCTCAATTAGTTCCCTTTTATTTGATGGGCGCCTCATTCGGACAAGAGTTTTCAAACGATCAAGAGTTTTTCATTTTCAAGAGTTTCTCGATGCGAGTGCTATCTCGCATCGAGGACACTGACTAACGCAAAACAGAAATACGCCCAAATCGATAAAGAAGCACTGTCAAAGATCATAAACCTTTAGTGGCTATTTTCACAGCCATCCGACTTTAACATTATGCACTGATATTGCAGGCATATCAGTTTGATATTGTGTATCGAAATACCAAGGAACACGGTAATGCTGATTGCCTGTCACACCTGCCTCTTAAATCTGAAGATTTAAGCATTAAGGATAATGTTGAAATATTCCAACTCTCCCAAATTGAAACTCTTCCAGTAACAGCTAGGGAGATAGCTCGGGAAACGTGAGCTGATGAAGAATTAAATAGTCTTTATATGAAATTAAAATCTGGAGAAAGTTTGGACGGTAGGGAAGCAGAGAGTACACCTTACAAGATGACTGTATAATGAGTGGTCAGAGGGTAGTTGTTCCAAAAAAACTCCAAGTTAAAATTCTCGAAGAGCATTTAGGAATCGTTAAAATGAAGGCAATCGCCAGATATTACGCCTTTTGGAAGGGAATTGATCATGATATTGAAGAAGTTTCTAGGAACTGTGTCAGTTGTATTAAGTTCAAATCAGATCCAGTAAGGACAAGGGTCTATCCCTGGGAATATCCAAGTGTGCCTCGGGAACGCATTCATGTAGATTTTGCAGGCCCTATTTTTGAACGAATGTTCTTGATTATCATTGACGCACATTCTAAATGGCTAGAAGTGTATACCCTAAAGTCAACAAATTCCTTTCAGACAATTGAATGTTTGAGAGACTGTTTTGCAAGATACGGACTGCCTTTAGTAGTAGTGAGTGACAATGTCCTCAGTTCACATCAGGGGAATTTGAAACTTTTATAAGGAATAATGGAATTAAACACAAAACGTGTGCTCCGTTTAAAGCAGCAAGTAACAGGCAAGCAGAGCGGTACATTTACACAGTTAAACAAGCATTACGTGCAATGCAAGGTTATCCAGAAAATATTAAACAAACACTTGCCATATTCCTCATGAATTATAGAAAGGCACCGAACTTGACAACCTTGTTAAGTCCAGCAATGCTATTCTTAAAAAGAGAAATTAGAACTCGAATTGATTTAGTTGTTCCAAATCTTAGATGAAGAGTGGAATAATGCATCCGAAGGAATACTTATGATTTCAAAGACAGAAATTTTGAGATTGGAGAAAAGATTACCATTCGGGATTATAGATCGGCAAATTCCCGATGGAAAATTGGCAGAGTGACAAATAAGGAGAGAGCGCTGCATTATACAATTGGCGTTCAAGGAACTTTACTGTGCCGACATGTTGATCAGATCAGATCGGTAGGGAGCGAGGTTCCGTCTGCACCGGTAATCTATGAACCTCATATGGCTGCTACTTCAGATGGCAACGTGAAGCCACAGGCTCCGGACAAGGACATCGAACAAAGAAGTGAAGCTGTGCATCAATGATGCGTAGCGTCTGAGAGAGAGTTACAAAATGTTTTCATCATTGCCAAGAAGTCCAAACAATGATGGTCGAATTCTAACAACTGATCAACAATGCGAACTTTGATAAGCAGGTCTTGATAATCAGTTGTCAACAATTATTTGTTGTTATTAAAATTTAACATTATAAAATTAACAAAAATAATATAAGACTCATATCCTGGTAAAGTAGCCACATCGCCGCCGAAAAACATATTCTTCCATTGTTCCCTAGCTTATCATGCATTCTTTAAAAAACATCGGGACCTTTTTTAAAACGCTGTGGGACACGGGACAAATTTTTAAAAATCGGGACTGTCCCGCCAAAAGCAGAACGTCTGGTCACCTTAATATATACCCAATCCTTTAACTGGCTTTTATTTTTGAAATCATTGGTCGTAGATATATACAGTCAAAAGTCGTTAATTCGGACACCCATAATCCGGACCTCAAAGCTACAAATTTTCTGTGCGCATCAAGACCATTATGGCAACGAATATGCATGCACAAAATATGTTTACGAATGCACGTTTAATGTATAATGGACGGTATAAGCTAAGCTAAAATTATCTAATTCAGTTAATGTTACAGATTGCGTTGTTCCTTAATCTTTGAATTGGATTCGGCTTTTTATTTTTTGCAGACTGTTAGGGCAATTTTATAAAAGTAAGCTTGAACTTTCGATTATGTCAAATAGAATTCCTGATATATATTTACTAATATGTAAAGGATCTACAAAGCGAAAGTATGTTTCCAAGACCATTAAACAAAAAGTGGAATTGCTGCAAAAAATGGATAAAGGCATATCCTTTGTTTATCTAAACTTTAATGTTTGTTTATCTAAACTTTGTTTATCTTTAACGCCCCGGCGCACAATGAATTGGAAGATGATCTGTCAGCACTATCCTTATCTTCAGGGCAGATGTTTTCATTTTATTTGGCTTATAATTCCTTACTAAATGTAGTATTTCATCTCGATGTACTCCGTCTTTGATATGATTGATTTAAATAAAATTCCTCGTCATTATAATTCGCTTCCGATAGCGAAGAAAGTGACAGAGGTTATTGAAAATGAAAAAATTTCGATTGACAAATTAGTCGGTATTCTCGACACAGCAATTATAGGACTTGAACAGCGGAACTTTGTAACTGAACAAGAAATTATGTCTGTTTATAGAATTAAAGAGAATGTATTATCACATAAGAAACGAAGCAACTTAAACAACTTACATTGAAAGGAATGTTGAATAAAGTAAACAAATAAATATTAAGCTTTTTTTTTTTGTAAATTTTGATACCCTTTAGATCATAATTATTCTTTATCTCATAAATTATGGTTTCATATTTTTAATTTTAGAATTTCTGCATGCTATCTTACCATAATCCGGAATCGCCGAAGTCCCAACGAGTCCGGATTAACGACTTTTGACTGTACTTCCAGTATCGAAGTGTTTTAAATGATAAAAATATTCATGCTTTGGCAATTTCAAATTTTAAAACAAAAATCTGGACAAATAACAAAATCTAACTTTGAATGCAATCTACCGATTCCAAAACTTATATTTGTGAAAGCTTTACAATCATTATGAAAAAATAAAAATAACAGAAGTTTCACTCCCATACGACAAAATTTGACTGGGATATTTAATTTCAGAATTTGCAATTTTTTATGCCATTTTCAAATTGCCTTAAATAATTGATTAATTATAAGGTATTTTTTCTTTCCTTCCAGCATGCCTTTGTGGTAGCACACTCGGTGCACAATTGACAGGTCCAGGTTCAAATGCTGGTGAGAGCAATGCTCATATTTATGTCAGGGAAAAAAAAAAAAAAAAAAACTAATGTCTCTAAAGTGGCACCCAAAATAAAAAGTGGTGGATGATAATTTGTCATCACTAGGATTTGGCAATTGGGTTCTGTTATCCTCAGTTGCTCTTTAAAAGGTATTTAAAGTATATAAGGTTAATTTCTCCCTCCCTCCATCATGCCTATCATGGTGTAATGGAAGCCCATTCAGCATGTATTCGAGAGGTCCAGGTTGAGTGCTAGCAAGGGCATTGCTCATATTTCACGGCTCCCACATTAAAAAAAAACCTAATGTCTTTATAAATTAAGTTAGATTAACACAAGGAAACAAGTTTAAACAAAATGCAGTAATAAAAATGTGCATAATTTAATAGTCATACTTTTAAGACTTGCTTTCGAAACATGAATGGTCCTGACTCGGAACAGGGTGCTTACTTAAGCTATGTTCAAGAAATTGTGAAGTAGACAATACAAGCAGGAAGGGTATACGAAACCCTTTATTTTCTATCTTTACAGGTATTTCCGAACTTCGGGATACAGAGACCAACCACTTGTGGTCTAAACGTAAGAATATAAAAACTACTAACTAAAACTCTAACTAAAACTAACTTTGAATTAGTATACAAGTGCCTAGCATTAAGATTGGCCTTTATTTTAACAAAGGTCCGTATGTAGTACGGCGAGCTGCT